ATAGGAGAGACAAATTCCTAGGATCTCTCTCAATTACTCATAGAATTTCTCTCAATTAGGGATTGATTAAATCTTTCCCTTAATCCTAGGATGACTTTCCTAATTTTATTCAAATCTAATCTTTCCTAAATTTATTCAAATYTGTAATCAATCAAATCAAATCTTTCTAAATTTGCAGCAAATCATATCTTTCTTAATTTGCCGCAAATCATATCTTGTCGACAGAAGTGCTGAAAAAGTGCAACAGATCATGTTATATACCTGAAACTAGTATGAGTAGGTGAATGGAGTTGCCTGGTTTCAATTATTGTTGCTTGAAATAAGATAGAAATTTGAAGTAGAAGGGACACTTTCAGTTTTCTGTTTTGAAATGATTCCACTGTTCTGAAAATTTAATGATTTAACAAGGACAAAGGAGATTTTTTTAATGATTCCATTGGATATAGCTAAGACAGGGGAGGTTTAAGTCTTTTACCCTCTTATGTACGCCCAGGTAGGTGATGTTTGTTGCTGATCCAGGCCTTTGTTGAGTTTTGAGCTTGTTGATCTTGTAAAGTGTTGTGGTTGGGTTTTTTTCTGCTTCTGCGGATGTGTTTGTTTCTGTTCTGCAGCCCATCACTTGTGGGCCCATGACCCCTCTGGTGATCTTTTGTACATTTTATCCCCTTTTGCCCCCTTTCTTTAATACGTCTTACCTTACATTTTCCTCTAAAAAACACTGTTATAAAGTGAAACAAGGTAAGAATTTACCTTGTATTTTAAATGCCCCAAGGGGCAGCAACCCTAGAGGGACCCATGATTAAGTTTCTCCTAATCCCACTTTTTCTTCTACTTGCTTCTTGTATTTGTGGCCACATCACCCTGATTCTATGGTGACAGTGGATTCATGGTGCATTTATGGATATCAAGGCTCTCAAAAGTGAGGAAAATATAGATCTGGATATTCAAATATCCAGCCTCCTTCCCAACCTAGCATGTATGATGAACTTTAAGATGGATTGGAGGACTGCAGTCATCATCTTTTGCATTTTACCTGTATTGGTTATTTATGATGCTTTCCCTTTCCTTTTATTTTTCCTTTTATTTCTCTTGGTTATTAGTAACTTGGTTTTTGATCTACTTATCTGTTTTCAGTTGTGCCATAACATATATTTTGGTAATGAAACAGTTAGGGCTCAAACAGCTGAGTACTTGCAAAAGAAAAGAACCCAGCAGGACAAAAGCTATAGCTTGCAATCAACAAATACACAGTGTTTAGCCAGCTTTCTGTTCAGAAATGGAATTAAAAAGCGGAATATGAGAAAACTTCATGAATTTCAAAACATGCAACAGAGAGCCAGTGAATCATAGAAAAGTTTGTTCTCCTTGTCCAAGTGTCTCCAAGCTTTTACTGATGCCTTTTTTTTTGACATTAGCTCATGCTTCTGGCTACACATTTCTTAATCCTTCTTGATTTAAGTGTCACTGTTTTGAAATGGTCTCTTTTCAATAAGGACAGGATATGCAGGGAGGTGTCAAAAAGGTATATTCATCATGATGGGTCATGCACTATTTTTCTCAAGCAATTCATATGACTCAAATGCAGAGTTTAGAAAGGACCATTTTAATGGTCAAACCTACAAGACTCTTACAACAAAAGCCAAGCCTATTGGAATTGATTCTGAATGCCTCATTTCCTTTTCCTTGACCCTTGACTGTTGAAAATGTTCTTCCCCTGCCACCAAACACACACACACACACATCCCAGACAAACATGGGCTCATGTTGATGTTGACTTTGGCTTTTGGTAATTTCCTACATTCGGGTTACATGGCTAAATAAGATGCTTCATTTAATTATCCAATATTTTTCTTATGTTTTTTAGACCCCCTTATTATATTACACTATCACAGCACTTTGACATTTTCTATCGGATCGCGACCTTTCTCGGAAAGCGATCTATTTACAATAAATTCTTCTTTAGATGATTTTTCAAAATCCTGCCTGCCTCGTGCTGTAAGAATTTGAGGCACCTCCCTGGTTTTCTTTTCCTTGAAAAATGCTCGTAACCTTAATATCACATCTCTTGAGAATACGACTCAAGGTTAATAAAACATCGAATGTCATTTGAAAAGTATACTTGAGATCAGAGAGAATTGCAGTTTGGATTGGCTTGGCCATTGAATGAGTGAAAAATACAATTCTATCATTTATATCATGGTTATACATGACAATATCAAATGACATTGGTTTTCGTTGTTTTATCTCCCGTCCACCTATAAGGATGGTCTTCCTAAAWCAATGAGAAATATGCTTGATGCTCAGCTAATAAATAATCAATTTTTGTTATAATCGTTTCTTCTGGCATCAGAATAACACCTTTGAAACCGAATAAAAAAAGTATTTTTGTGAGAATGACCAGCATAAATATTCAGAACCACCATACATGAAAAATTTTTAATAGAGAGAGGGTAAATGATATTGACATGGAAATGTTGGAGGGTAGGGAATTGCCAAACTTAAGGGTTAAGACCCTGAGGTTTTGCACTATATTCTTTCTCTCTGTTCATTTTCTCCAAATGTCTTGGTTCTGGCTACACACGTTGGACACCCAGATTAAGACCCACCACCATTGATGGGTTCAAACTTTTAGAGGGCCTACAAATTAACATGATAATATGACTTTCAGATATTTGGTTTATTCGTTAATTTTTAAGCTTTGCAGAATTGTAATTGAGCATTTCTCCACTGCCCAAATATCGGCAGCAAAACAAATATTTGAAACATGGGACAGATTGCAAGTTATCCAAACCCATCTGTCGGTCTTCCATCCTAGATCTGAGATTTTCTTTTACAAGTAATGCTTTTTTAATATGGCTTTTCCTTGTAATAGTCTCTGTTTCAACACACACGAGGCAGAAAAATTTTCAGATCGAAATATTTCAACTATATCTCATTGTCATTTGCCCCTTATACAACGAATTTACTTTCCCCCATTTAAAAGAAAGAAGGAGCTTGTGGGTCTTTCACTTCGAGTTGGGATCTCTTGCCAACATTCCAATACCCTATCAAGTACCACCTTGATTTTACACCGCACATCTCACATCTCACTGGAGCCCGCCATAAAAGTGGAACCTGTCATATATGAAATGTACGGTGTCAGATGCATGGTATTGGAACATATTTTGTTGGCAGGTGATCCGGAGTCTTTCATTTTGTAGGGTAAGTCAACTAGTTAAGAAAAGACAACAGTAAACTGCAGTTACCTCTCTGCAGTGAAAAAAGTGCGACGACCTTCGGATGGAATGCCTTTTTGTACCGGCGCAATTCTTAATATGCAGATAGATCTGCTGCCTGATAGATAGGATAGTCTGGGTTATGCCATCCTTCAGTTTGGTTGCAAGTTAGAAAAAAGTGAATAAAGTGCACCCATGACCCACCTTTTAGTAGGGGGAAAAGTGCAGCCACCTTGATAGAATACCTTTTGTACCGCCACAATCCTTCATATCTATTCTTTTTTTTTTTCATTCCTTCATATCTACTCCAGATATGGTAGTCTAGGTTAGCTATATTTATCCTTCAATTTAATTTGGTTGGAAGTTCAAAAAAGGAAGAAAAATCATCTAGAAAATGCTGCTCTCATAAATATATTTCGAAAGCTTGGTGTAAGTGTAACGTTTAACTGTGTAAGTGTGTAGTCATCATTCGGATAATGAACTATTTCAAGTTACCTGTTTTAAATTAATTTCAATTTTTTGGAATAACAGATAGCTGAATAGTACATTGTATTCCGGATGACTTCAAATGTAATAATTAATTCTATTCAAATTACAGTTATAATAGGGGCCATTACTTGATTACTAGGTCTAATGGTCAAAACTTTATGGAGGCCACTTTATGCTAAAAAATGCCGAAGGTAGGACTGTATCCAGTCTACCCCAAGACCCCAGATAGCTGAGACCAACATTGGTGGCATTTTACTCAAACTACAATTAGTGGGGTGCAAGTTTCCATACATTAACTAGATTTTATTGGCCTTTGGAGAAGGAGAACATGCTCCTCCAAAAGGGTAAAATGCTATGAGTTTGGTTCTAGATGGTTAACTTTGCAACCCAACATTCTCGCTAGTTGGCTAGAAGGCAGGTCGTCTGACCAGATTAAGAGCTATAAGCTGTCGTTTGATTCACAGGTGTTGTAAGCCACAGGACATATTGTCTGTGCACGTCTTATTTCCTTTTTACATTGTGAACGGGTTTACCCTTTTTTCCTTTGGGGAGGAAAATCTTCATCAGGATATCACTGATCTTATGATATTTCTAGTTTCCTTACCCAGGAAACTGGAAAAAAAAAACGAAAAGTTGGTTCAACACCATGTTGGAGTTAGTAGGTAGTACCATAAAGAATTATAAGCTAGAATGAACTTGAATAAAGAAAACTAGGCCTGTCATCCTAGCTACTTTCTCAACTAGAATTATAACTAGGCAAAGCAAACAGGAGGGCTGAACTGCTAGTAGACATGAGCTCGTGCAGATGCTAGAGCTGTTGATTCATAGGTTAGTAAAGGTTTATCCAAATAAGCTCGTGCAGATACTGAGCCAAATAAGGATTAAGAGGTTTGTGATTTGCTTGTTTTCCCTGGATTAACTGTTATAGCTAGAATCTCAACTAAGAAAGTTGTATGCTTGAGTTAGGTTATTAATTAATACAAATAATTAAAAGTGAGAGTTGTAATAGGATGTTGCTGGTTATGATAAATTTGGTAAGTCAATGAATGCATGACTACACATTTGATTGCCAAGAGACCATAGACAGCAGCTTTTGGCCGGATCAACTTGTACAATTTGGTTAATTTTCTGTCACTGGTCCTGAACCTTTCCCTATCAGCCAGGACCCAGGAGAGACAGTTTACCAGTCTACTACTCTGTGTTATATAACAATCCCCTCCCACCCTATTCCACTAAACTTTGACCTAAGGTTTTTAAAACTGAACCGGACAGGAAACTGTTTTTGGGTCCAGTTTCCGTTGTCCAGATCAATGATTCGATCGCCTAGGTCCGTGGTTTGCTGACCAAATTAATGGTTTTTGGTCAAAAAACATTTTGGGGTAAAACAAAACTGGTCAGATGACTGATTCTCGGTTTTTTTTTAATCCGACCATCTAGTCTGATTCGATTTTGAAAACCATGCTTTGATCAATCAAGAAGATGCAACATATACACATGCTGCTGCTCATTGACAGCACAGGTGGTATGTTGGCATATGATGCCATGGTGAAAGCTACACATGCAGCAGTGACCCAGGTCTCTATGGTTGGGACTTGGGACACACCTAAACAAAGGTAGTACATATGCACATGATGCTGTTCTGCTGTTCTGATCACAGAGACGTGCGTTAGCTCAGTCCTGCGCTGTGGCACACATCAACATGGAAACCCTAATGTCGCTAGCTGATCAATTATAATTAGTCTGATTTAGGGATGGCAACAGGATTCAGGGAGGGTTTTGTAAATTCAAGATCCTATTTATCTCCCTAAACCTCTCAACCTGTACCTGGCCCAAAACCTGTAGTGGATTGGATTTTGAGAATCCAAACCCCACCTGCACATGAAAGTGCAAAATCCTCCCCGACCCTACCCTACCCTCCTCATATTCAAGGGTAGGGGCGGGTTGGGTTTAAAATCCACATCTAATTTCCTATTATTTTTTATTGTATATAAGCAATAAATAAGTAAAACAACACAAATAAACATCAAGATTTCTAATTATTTGATTAAAACATGCAAAAAACACATAAACTATCAATTATCATTCACATAAAATTCAAAATATTATTAAATTCAACACCTAATACATAAAGTTTATATGCTTTCCAACAATATGCGGGCTGGGGAGGGTCGGATTTAGCCTAATACCCTATCCTACCCTACCCACATTCATACGGGATTGTAGAATACCCGCCCCAAAACACCATCATTTAAGCAAAAAAAAAAAAAAGAAAAAAAGAAAAATGGGTACCCACCGTGGGATAGGATAGAAATTGTCATCCCTAGTCTGATCTCCATTTTTAACAACACAGATCGATAGGTTTGCCACTCCACCACCTGCCACCGGCGAGACTGCCAATGCCAACAACCACTTTTAATCCATTCCACCCCGATTTTGGCGAGAAAACCAGGCATCTCGAAAACGAATCTTCCTCACCACCATGCGCATTAAATGCTGCATTGAAGCTGCCGTGTTTTTTATTTTCTTGTAACATGGTGATGAAGATGTCTGTTTTTTCTTGTATTTTATTGTCTAGAAAAAATGGCAAAAACAACAATAACAAGGCTATCTCACCTCTTTACATGGACATGGTCTCTCTCCTTCCTAAAACATAGAGGGTTGAAGCTTGAAAGTACGTGTTCTATGAACTAATACACTTAAAGTAATTCGACAACACTACTTGATGTCATTTTATAAGGGTGTAAGGTAATCAACAATTTGGTTTGTAAGACATTTTTAACTTTGTAGGACCATGACAACTAGGAAACAAGACCTGTTTTTCTTGGAAGAGAGGATGAGAAGCTTAGAATCATGTGGAGTGCATTAAATGCAGTAGAGTGGGGAATAGGACTTAGGGTTCCACAACCCTAAATTTCATTTTCAATCTCTCTTGAAATGGGTTTCCTTTTTATTATTCTTAGACCTTAGTTTGATGTCGGATCACATTTAGTGCTTCTCATTAATTACTTGGTGGGTGTTTTTACAGAGAAGTAATAAAAAATATTGATGGGCTTAGCTAGACATTTTTTTTTTCAGAATTCTTTGATTTGATTTAATAGAGGAAGGATGTAGATTCTTGGTTTGGCCACACTGCAGAGTTGTCGATGCGACATGGTCACCAATTTGAATCATGTAACGTGTAGGAATTATTTATTATTTACTATCATTTTTATGTTCTCAAGTTGAAGAATTCATTCTGTGTAGGCCACTAAACAAACATTGTAAATGGAAGCAAAGTGTTAGTTGAAATAAGAATTACATATAGAGAAGAAAGATTTACATGATAACTGGTGATGGCATCAATTTATAAGTTTTAAGGTGAATAGTTGGAATTGTTGCAGTAAAATAGCCTTTTCAAAATAATTTCTGTAAGTATACTCTTGTTCACAATCCACCCCTTGTGAAGTATGGGCTGTATCGGTACTTTGAACTGTGTACATATTGTTTATTAGTTTTTTTTTTTTTTCAAAAATAGGTTGGGGCTCTGTCTTAGGCCTCCATACCCCCCAAAAACATGCATCATTAACCTATTAGTACCATATGTATTAGCTAATATAGGCTAATATGTTGATCCTTGGTTCAAAGGTTAGAACCCTTATCTTCTTTCTCTCTCTCTCTCTCATATCCACCAATGTAGATTCAAAATTTGTATAAAAAATCCTTACTTTTCTTCCTTAATTAATTTTGATAATATACTAAGTGTCCATTTGGTTCATAGTCGAAACCAGAATCAGAATCCCTTGGAATTGAATCAAAATGATCTATTCCCACAATTTGTTTGGTTTAAACAGGATCTAGAATCAGCAGGAATGAAATTTCATTCCAAGGAAGGGGGAAGGTATAGTCATTCCCTCAAATGGGGAAATGCCATTCTACCAGGAATGGAAATGAGGTTCTGATTCTGCCCAACCAAATAGTTCCGATTTCAATTCTGAATCCCTATTCCCACTAAACAAATGGGCCAAATCAAAATATTATTTTATGTTTATACTAAATACTCAAGAAAATAAAAAGACAACTTATATTGATCTTGACTCTTTGATAATAATCTCATGGAATTGATATCGAAATTAATAAATCTTACCAAGTAGACAGAAATTCTTAGCCATAACTATATACTAGAAAGGATGCTACACTGACAATGGTCGATCCACGTTCACGGGTCCTGTCCAGGATTGCCCCCACCCGAAAAAAAAAAGAAAAAGAAGGAAAAAAGATCTATTTATATCATCAATCCTATGTTAAGGTAGAATTTCCTTGATATCGAAGATCTTGATTTCAGCTTGTTTATTCATGGCTTACCAACTATAAGAAGAAAAGGAAGAATTTATCTACAAAACCAGGTTCAGATGAGTTAATATATGCAACCATGTGCCCATATGATCGTTTGTATGTGTTTATTTGATGCTTTTCTGTATGTATGAATGCGAAGGAGTCATGCCTTAGTCGTCCGTACCACATTCGTGGAGAAGAAAAATAAATTTATTGCTTAAATATTGGATTATACATAGCTAGCATGATAAGGCGTATCCAATATTTCAATTCTCATTTTGTCCTTTAATTGGGCTGACTGGTTCATCAGTCAGCACCTACCATGGGTTTGGCGTATAAACTAGCTAGAAAATGGATCATCACCAAACCCAAGATCTTGATTTGGTCCCTTAATTAATTCAACCAATCCACCCATTTTCTTCAGATTTGGGTTGGCTACTCTGAAACCACCACTTAAAGTAAATCAGGCTGTGATTGGTTGGCTAGTCTTTTTCTCAAACATGAACCAGTCAATAAAGGCCTGTATTGGCTTAATTGCAAGTTTCCATCTCCAGCCAATTTCAAAGTATAATGGTCTAGCAAACACACCTGATCTGAATCATCTGATCATTCTGTTATTCATTTAAGGAGGATTACATTCAATTATTATTATTGTTAGAACCGGTAGTGGTGCTGTTCATGCTGTGGCTAAGTATATCTCCTGTGTCTTGTGAATTGTGATCGTTCAATTGTCTGGTCTGTTATTTGAATAATATCAAATTCTGAGAGGTCTATTAATTTTAAGATTTGATTAATGGAATCAGCCTATGGACTTTTAAGGTTTTAAAGAAAGGAGAGAGAGAGAGAGGTGGTTTGGTCCCCGGGGGTTGGGTGGGATTTGATTAGTTGTAATTAATAATATACTTTCTTATTAATTATGTGTATTCACGTGAATGTCTGTCAACAAACATTCACATTCACGTCCAACCCTTTTCTTAGTGTTGGTCTCGGTCCTGGTTAGGGTTTTGCATCGTTTTCAACCTTGTCTCTATAGTCCTAACCCTAATTAATCTCTCTTTTAATTGAGAGAGAGAGACAAGTTCAAAGTATCAAAAAGATAATTTTAAAAAACATTTTGGGATATATTTTGGATACGTATGGATACATACGAAAAATCAAGATATACATAAATACATTAGAAAACTTATATAAATCTTAAAAGAATATATTAATAACAATAAATATAAATTTTACATGACCTTAAATGAGTTATTTAAACACTTATAAAGAAAACAAGTTATTTAAATATACAAACCCATACCTCAATAATTTATATAAAATGCAAGATATACGGACAAATTGGTAATTGTTGAAGATAATGGAAGGAGTAAAATGTGCATTAATTTTCAGAAAATCAATATATTTTATATTAATATTTATTAGTATATAAATTTTAATAATCAATTTTAACATTAATTAATGAACATCGATTAAGAAGAAAAATATTTGCTTAAGAATAATAATACATACAATTATAATGAACACTTGAATATAGTGCAGTGGTTTGTTTATGTTTATTATAATCAAATTACCAAGGTTCAATTTTCAATTTTCTTTACCTTTCTTATTTGTAGTTTTAAATATGTTGGTTTAATTACAAGTCAACTTTGAATTTATTGTTTTAATGATGGGTCAAATTAAAATTTGAATTTGAATATTATCATAAATATAGTAATTAATTATTAATTAAGAGATAAAAAGAACTATAAAGAGAGAGAGGTAATAATTATAGGGGATTAGGAGTTATTTTAGGGCAAGTTTCCTTAAATGACAATCATGGTGTTTGGAAGCATAGGCCCTTTTGGGACTGATTTTCAAGAAAAAACGCCCATGCTTCCAAGACCCGTTTTTTGTAAAAAAATGTTTCTGCCACATAGGCAGTGAACAACACTATGCTGTTTGGTAAGAACCGTTTTTCATGTATGTGCTGACAGGTAAGCACCACATAGGATACACATTAGTCAACTGTTGGGGAAAACGGTTCACCAATGCATCATCGGTGGAGTCCTGATTTTCGAGGCATGCCTGATTTTTTAATAGTTGGCTGAACTAAACACTGAGATATATGAGCGTTTGTTGAAACGCCTATGTAGATCCGACGTGGAACCGTTTTTTAAAAAACGGCCACGATTCCAAACATCCCCAATATTAGACTTCCAAGTTCCAAATTATATGTATAATTCTAAAAATAAACCAAAAAGCTAGCAACCGGTACCCCACGTACTAAAAAAAAAATAAAAAAATAAAAAAACTCTTGTTCATGCATTGAACTACTTGACTGAGCTGAAAACCTATTATAAATAGACAAGCCCATCTCATTCTTTTGCAAGTTCTTTTTCTGAATTGCTTCTGTTCAAGAGTCGTTATCCTTGCGTAGACAAAAGATAACATAATCCTCCCCACTTTTCTTCCTTCTTTCCTTCCTTTCTTTAAAATTCTCTCCTCTTTCTCGGCTGATTTTAAGACACGAAATGGGAGGAAGTTCGCCTTGTGCTTCCTGCAAGCTGTTGAGACGTCGCTGTGCCAAGGACTGCATCTTCGCTCCCTACTTCCCTTCCGACGACCCACATAAGTTCGCCATTGTTCACAAGGTCTTCGGTGCTAGCAACGTTAGCAAAATGTTACAGGTCTCCTCTCTCTCTCTCTCTCTCTCTCTCTCTCTCTCTCTCTCTCTTTCTCTCTCTCTAGCCTCGAAATGCAGCTCTTCACAAGTATCTTCATGTATAGTGTTTCAGAATCAAAACGTACGTAGCTTCTTGTGTATATATGTTGGATCGATCGTTGGTTAATGTATATGTTTTCATACAGGAGCTTCCGATTCATCAGAGAGCGGACGCAGTAAGCAGCTTAGTATACGAAGCAAATGCGAGAGTGCGAGACCCTGTTTACGGATGCGTCGGGGCGATCTCCTACTTGCAGAACCAAGTCTCTCAGTTGCAGATGCAGCTTGCAGTGGCTCAAGCTGAGATCCTTTGCATCCAGATGCAGCAGGAACCTGCCTTACCAACCCACCAGATTGTCTCAGACGACAGATCACTTCTTCACAGTAACCTCAGTAACCTTCCCCAGTATCTCAACTTTGCCTCTACAAGCAATGTAATCCAAGATCCTCTCAAGAGAGAATCTCTCTGGACATGACAAAATTTTTTTCTTTTCTTTTCTTTTTTTTTTCCTTCTTCTAATGAATATTAATGGTGCCACGTTAGACTCTTCATTCTTCTCATATACACCGATTATAATCACATTAGGTGTTTTCACACACATACACTTAGCTTATGAAAGGGTCAACCTCATTACTTCATTAGCATGTGAGATGTGGAGTGAAGTAGGGTTTTGTGAGTTTCCTGCCAAACACAGGAGTAGATCTAGAGAGAGAGAGAGAGATGGCCGGTGGACTCTCATAAGTAGTAATATAACATCTCGAACATGGTGGGAGGCAGTGCAAGGAAGTTTGTACATGGGAAGAATAGAAACTGCAATATAATTAGTTAATATTATCACCATTAATTGTTTTGCGAATCCATTCCTCCACACATTAATTAATTTATGTGTTGAATCCATTGCCTTAGAGGAGGTGATAATAATAAAACAAAGGCAATACCTGACTTAAAAAGAATAAAAGATTCTCCTTGATTTGTTTATTTAATGTGGAAACATTTCCTAAGTCAAACTTAAGGGCTTTCTTCTCTTATTTTCACTTCTATCTTTCCATCAGATTTTATTTATATAAATTGATAAGGATGGGAAACGTGATTGTGTCCACTTCATTAGTTCTATGGCTATGTTTTGCATGTGGCTTTGTATACATTAATAGAATCATAATCTTTATTAATTTTTAATCACTAATACACTCCATAATGAGTTTCATCAATTAATGTTTTAATTACATGATAACCCAAATAATTCCTTTGAAGAAATTAAATATGCTTGTTAGGGCCAATACCCTTTGGCCATAACCCTAGAGAGGTGAGTGCATATATAATTGCCATTTTTGAGAATTTTATGATAAGAAGGGGTAATTCATGTATAGGTCTGATATAGACCCAGTGGGGTTTGAGTCATGAAGCTTCTTCGGTTCCTTTTGGGGTTTGGTGAGAAGTAATGTGAACCAATGGAATAGAAAAATAATTAAGAAATTAACATATATAATTAATCTAATGTTATGTAACAAGACAAAAAAGCTAATCTAAAGTTATTACATGGCCAGACAAAAAGTGTTTTCTGTATCTAATCAATCTCGAATTTGCTTTCTTTTCTAGAGGACCCAAAAAATGAGAATCTGTTTCCCTGTTAAGGGGCTCGAGGTTTCTTATTCGTCTCAAATTAAGGCCACTAGATTAGAGAAATCGAGAATTGCTTAAATGATGCCAAATTGTTGGTGGCCGTCGCTAATTCATTTTTTTTTTTTTAAATTTCTCCACTTAGATTATGGTTCACAAAAAATAGGGAGAATGAGGGTTCAGCCTAAGGTCAGAATTTGTAGGCTCAAAGTACTATCGGGGTAGGTGACAGTTCAGAATTGGTGCCTATTCATGGATGGGTGTTGGTGCATAGAGTGCGAGTTGTTGACCTTTTGAATATTTATAGGTTTGCGGTGGAAATCAGAAATCTGTATCGGGCAAATCCAAACTTCACCGTAAAAAATATTGGATATTAACAAAATCAATTAAGGTCCATTTGTCTGCAGTGCAAATTCAATACGCAAATGTCCCTGTAAATATGCTTCTTTTCCAAACATGACCCGACATGTCATGTATACAGTATACTGCATTCTGCATATAGAGTCATGGAGACCGCAGATTCCTCCTAGAGAAAGGGTGGGATGTGTCCACAAGGAAGGAACGGGTTTCATCCATCCCTCATTTTCAAGCTCCATTGGACAAAGACCCAACTCCTAGGACTCATTCTTTACCTTTTTCTTAGTAGGGAAATCTATAAACATCTCTCTCTCTACGTGGTAGGGAAATCAGAAACAGCAAATAAGTTAAAGTCATGGTCAAACAACTAGAATGCAGAGTAGAATTGGCATTAATTGAAATTAATATATTCAGGGGGGGGGGGGGGGGTTGAATGCTTTTGAAAAGAACAGAAAACCTATTTGTAAATTAAGCTGATCTAGCTCCATAGCTTAGCTGACCCAATGTTTTGTTGACTGAGATGGAAGCATGGGGCTTTAGTTTCAATAGAGAGAGTGGGTAGGATATATGAGGGAAGGAGCCCACTTGTTTTGTTCTTGAGGGAATTGAAGGGAAAACATTCCGTCCTTTCATTCTTTCTTTTCCTTTTTCTTGTTTTAAGCCCACTTGTTTTGTTCCGACTTAGTTGACCCAATGCGCAGGATATGCCAGGACCATACGGTTCGCTAGACGTTCATGAGTTTTACTGCTGAGTGGTCCTGACTCCTGAATAAAGTGTACTCATTGTTTCTAAACACTACATCATGTAGGAGATTCGACAGCTTTGATCCGCGATTGAGTTTTGTATATGTGGTACCCAGGAGATGGTTAATCGGACTAGTCTTTGTCTAACACCATATCTATGAAAAGGAAAGCCATACTCCCATCGATTATTGGTCATAGACTTAAATTTGTCTGAGGCAGAAATAGGTGGGCTTGAAGAGATTATTCCCAAGTATTTGAACCCATCTTCTAAATGGGTCATTTATTTATTAGAGGGCAAAACTTTCTTTGATATGGCAAGAAAAGTAACCTAGTGAGTAAGGCCGTGTTTGGTTTTAAGGAAAAAGTAGGGAATTAGAAAAGGAAAGGCCGGGAAGGAAATCTTTACAAAACCTTTCCTACATTTTCCTTCATTTCCCTTCCTTTTCCTTTAATCCAAACATAGCCTAAAGTCTTGATGGTAAGTATACATTGTAAAATATGAAAGAATGGAAAGCAAGTGGACCATATGATATTATTAATATGATTTGGTTGAAATCTTGATTTAATGTATAAGAAATATTAGTGAATTAATCCTAGTTGGATTCTTATTGGAGTCTTAAAAATCCAGAAATCTCTTCCTCTCTATATAGCATTTCATTAGTAGATTTAAACTTTATTTTGTAAAAATAATTGCTTTTGATAAGCAAATAAGATGAACTATGAAAAAGGCAAATGCTAATATGTGGAAAACACTATAGACCTTATGTTATTGCAAGGTTTTTAAAATCGGGCTGGACAGGGAACCATTCTGGGTACCAGTTCCCGGTTCGAACGGATGGTCCATTCTGACTTGAAAAATAAAAAAAAAATTAAAGACCAAAAACTGTTATTCGATTTGACAGTTTGACCGCCCGAGCCAATAGTTTACTGACTAAATCAACATTTTTTTTTTATCAAAAAGCAGTTTTAGGGTGAAACTCGACTGCTGGTCTGGTCCGGTTTTAAAAATCATGATGCTATGGTCCAGGATCCCACTTGATGATCTCAACTCCCATCAAATGAGAGGATGAAGTTTTTCCATACCAGACCAATATTTCTCATAGGCTAGCATGACCTTATAAGCCCATAATAAAGATCTATAACAATGCATTACACACCCTTTAAAATGCATCGTACATGCATCTTGAATATATGTCATTCCAGTTTGATTTTAGGTAGCAGAGATCGGTGGGAGCATCATGGAGAGAGAAAGAGAGAATTGAAAGTTTCGAACATGTGCTAAGTAAGGGAACTGTTCTTTGTTTATAATAAAATTTGAAAAGTTTGAATTAAGTTTGAACAATGAACAATTATATTGCGGCTAGTCGAGAGAGTCCAGCGCCCAATTGCCACACGATTTATGATTTTTCTACTTTTCCTGATTAATTAGAATTCATTAACCCTTGAACTGCATCGAGTTATGCCCTTAATTTCTTCTTTAAATTATACAAGCTTTTATTTGGTCAAATTATTTAATCCGATTGGTTTTCAATTTTGGAATTCTTCAAGTTGTAGCCTGCAAATTAAATGATTCGGCCTAGTCAAAGTATTCATATTTCTATATACACACATTTGCACTTGTCTGTGATCAGCTTATTCTCTCCTCATATTGCTTTTAGTTCCTTCAAAATTTTGTGATTTTTTTTGAATTTAAAAGAAAGGAAACTGAATTGATTGTGGGTCAGTTTAAATAACCCCATGTTTAATTTGATTGTTTTATTTATTTTTAATTAAAAACCTACACTAGTCCTAAAAGAAAAATGAGACCAATTAAATTGTAGGAAACCCAAAATTTGTTTCATATGCCAAAGGTTCCACAAGCCACATGAACAAATTTGTTCGTATTTGGCCCGACACAAGAAGTAATTGAAATAGTCAGCTATTGTTTTCAAACTTTTTGTAAGGGATTGAACTATGAAGCTGCAATTTTATAAATTAATAACAACTTGATCTATTAGCATTGGAGCCTTGAAACATGACCGAGTAGTCTTCTGAAAAGCACAGGCATCTAACCTCACATTAGGCTGTGTTTGAAAACGATGCAGACGGAGTGTAAATCCCGGTTCAGGGTAAATTTGTATTCTGGTTCACTTTTGACTGTGTTTGGCAATATTACATTTATGCATTGTTAAATGACAGATCAATGCATATTTACATTGATAATAAGATGTAAAGATAAAAAAAAGTATATGCTTTATTGAAATTCATGTTTGCATCCTTTACAGCTAAAAGTATGTTTGGTAAGAAGATAAATTTGTCAGTGCAAAACTAACCCAATTTTGCAATTTATATGAACCATTTTACACTCTACATATTTGCATCGTTTCCAAATATAGCCTTGGGAACGTTTCCTCATGAATTTAACAAACATGTTGAAGAATTATTCTCAATGTGTGATTGGATGTTATGTGCTCAAAGTTTTTGCTTTCAGGAGATCCGGGCTCTTTTGAAATAGTAGCAAGAAATATTTATTAATTTAAAGCATTAATGTTAGTTGGAAAACATGGATTTTTTCCCATTATTTTTAGTACAAAAATGATTAACTATTGATCCCATCTTTATTTTTAGGCTTGTATTTTTCTCATTTTCAAGAAATAATTGAAGTGGTCGGTTATGTTTTCAAATGTTTTAAATGTGATTGATTTATAAAACCACAAATTTGTTAATTTAATGGAAATTTGATCTTATTAGAACCAAAAATCTTTAAGCCTGTGTTTGGTTGGATTTGTACTGATGCAAAACTATGGTAGTACAATGAATTGTGTGCAAATTCTGATTTATTATTGTTTTAAATTTTACTTTATTTTATTTGATTGCAGTATAAATGAAATAAAACTAGACCTGAAGCATAATAAGGTAAAACCCAAAACAAAAATTTGCATTCTAATACATTTATATTAATACAAATAAATTTATACTAAAAACAAACACAACCTAATTAACAAATTGAACATTGGAACAAAGATCATTTAACGGGATTGAACCAGAAGCATTCTTCCAAAAGGAAGGTAAAGGAGGACGAAACAATCAATAAGCATAACATTCTACTTTCCAAGAAGCGATTTTTTTTTTTTTTTTTGGTTTTGTTTTTTTAGCTTTGAAGCCATACTTTCCAAGAAGTGATGACATGTAATTGACCCTATAAAGTTGTCGCGTTTGTCAAATTTAGGGGATAATACGTACCATTTCATGGGCCCTACTGACATGATTCGATGATCTCATCTGACCATCAGTCGCGCCTCTGTTTTTCAGAAAACTAGTGAAAATAAAAGGAGAAAATTACAGTTAAGTCCTCAAAAGTCATATATTCCATGGACCCTTATCTCATATTTTCTTTTCTCACATTGTTTTTTTTTTTTTTTTGATAAATGAAAAAAAAAGTCACGAATAAATGTGTGGCTAGACTAGAATTACTGTGAAGTCGGCATAAGGCGCGTTCTGTGAGAAGCAATTCCGGATTCAAAGATCCATTACTTGGCAAAGGCTAATAAATTAAAAAAAAAAATGAACTTAGTTAAACCTGAAAATTACATGATGAGCACAGAGTTCCTTGTTTTCTTTGAGCACAAACCAAGTTACCTCCTTTACACCTTACTTCCTCCAGTAAATAAGTTCATCCTTTTCTTGGGTTAGGGTTTGGACGTATTGAAATTTCATAAATTTCCAACCCAACCCGACGCTAGTTGTAATTACACTCCTATGTATAGTTGTATACCACACACTAAACATTGTGAAGTAATTAAGCTAATCTCCCTAGAACTTTTGTTGAATCTATCCCTACCCATTGTTTACATGTAAACCTATAGGGGTGTTCACATTAAATGCCAAATCGATTAAATTAGCCCGATTCAAATCGATTAAACCTATATGTTTAAGTAATTATTAATTAGTCCCTACCTTATTTGTTAAATGTTGATACGTTTTATTTATGTTTTGTTTGAACTTTGAAAAAAATTGATTATTTATGATAAAAATTAAGCGTAAAATCAATACAAATATAATACAATGGTACAATATTTAATTTAGTTTTGTATAAATTTAAATATATATTGACAAAAAAATCAGTTTTTCATAAAAAACTAATCGATTTAAATTTATATTTTGATTTTGCATAAAAACTAAAAAGAAATAAACTTAAATATAGATAGATATTTTAGTTTAAAATATATATAAAAACCGACTAAGCCAATAAACTGACCCAAACCGACCCTTCATATTTGGGTCGGTTTTGATTTAGGGTTGGTCGGTTTTGGTTTAGTCAATAAATAACCGAATAGGTCAAGTCGGTTGAAGAAAATGGCTCAACCCGACCTGTGAACRCCCCTATAAAGCTATATGCTTACGGTAGGGTCGGTCGGTTTTGGTTTAGTCAATAAATAACTGACTAGGTCAGGTCGGTTGAAGAAAATGGCTCAACCTGACCCGTGAACACCCCTATAAAGCTATATGCTTACGGGTCAGGTTGGATGGATGACGCAGTACGGAAATGAAACACATGAGAAAAGCTTCAAAGAAAAGAGCAGAAGTCAAAGTTTAGAAAGAAGAATTCTTCACTAAACAATTAAGAGAAAATTGATAACAAGAGAACTGCCTTAGCCTTCCCCTATCTACTCTTTATATAAGCATACACCCTTATGTCTCCTAATCCTAATATGAAAACACTCCCTAATAGAATCCTAGTAAAACTCCTTAAAAAATAAAATCATAATCTAAGAAAACACTCCAAAATAGAATCCTAAAAAATTCTTCAAAAGGAAAGTCCTAATTGAATATAAATTCAAAATAATGCTATCTTGGTAAAAATGAACTAAGATGGAAACTCTGAGAAGGCGCCAACTTAGTAAAAACATGTTAAGATAGAATTCGTGTGATGATGCTATATCGGTAAATATTTAATAAGATGGGCTGGTGGCGTCATTGCTGCTTCTTATGTGTTTTGGAATGGTCCTAACTTGCATAGAATTTATTGGCCTTCTCCTATACTGTATCATTAGAATTAACATTTTACACTGATTCAGGCTTAGGATTTCTACTTAAATTTTAACAAAAGCCTAACCCAATCCTGGCCAAATTGCACCCATAGCTATACTAGGCTAGGTTGGCTTGGGTCGAGGCTAACTTTGATGCAACCCTAGTGTTAAAGTCGAAACTTTAACTCTAACCCAACTCAAAGTTCTCAATAACATGTAGTATACCGTGTTGTATGTATTAATTTATGCATTTGTATGTAAATTTGGTCGAGTCAGGAGTTCGGATTAGCTGAATGCATTAGCCGTGTAGTGGGATCTGTAACCAATGATAAAAATTTTAGGCTACATTGGGCCTGTAATTTTGGGCTGGACCCATTCAAATTTCAATAAATTCCCAACCCAAGCCCATCCCAGTCGCACCCCCTTAAATATACCAAGGTTTTAAAGACAAGGTCTAGTCTCAAAGCTTATGTATATATGTATGAAACCAAATTTTATGTTCATGTTTGAGCATTTTGGAATATTGTTTATGTTATTTACTTGACAGAAAATTTATAAATTTATTGTTTTTTTCATTGCCTAGTGCCCACCTTCTTTTATTAATTTAATATTATCATCACTATTGTAATTATAATTACTTAGAATATATATATATATATATTTTTAATTTGAGATTATATTCTTTGACAAGTATCAAATATCAATTTAAGCCCTTTTTTATGGGAGAATGACGGTTCAGTCCAGAGTCAAAATTTGTAGGCCCAAATTACTGTTGGGGTAGGTGCCAGCTCAGAATTGATGTCAATTCGTGGGTCGACATTGATGCATAGAATGTGGATTGTTGACGTTTTGAATGTTTATAATTTTGCAGTGAAAATCAGAAATCTGAATTGGGCCTATCCGTACTTTTCCATTTTTTTTTTTTTTGTTTGGTGGAACACACGAAGTTTCAGCCGAAACAACTCAAGGCTAAAGGGTGGCAGGTGGAGTGAGGTGTTCGTCTCTTGCTAGGAGATATTTTAACAAAGTGGTTTTTGCTTCATCTCACCTCCTTTTAAAAACTAACAAATATACCATACGACTAGGCTAAGCTGTAGTAATGAAAGCCCAGCCCACTAGATTCAAACTGAATTTTAATTGGGCTGGAATCCTTAGCCCAGGTTTGTTTTTCTTCGGGGAACAGGATCTGCTCCTCACATATGGGGTGCCTCATAGAGTTACAGGCACATCCGTCATACATTGGAGACATCTCCTGTGAATAATAATTTATAAGTACGGAAGATGTTCCTAACGAATGGTAGGATGAGATTGTGAGGTCTCTAACACCGTCCCAACATCCTCTTGCAACCTTGCATTGCATCGGAAATATCTATATTCTCATGAAATAAAGTACATGAGTAGGAAGATATTCCCAACATCCTCTTGCATTGCATTGCATTGCCCTGACGGAAGCCGAATTCGAGAAAACATCCGTCCGGTACATTTTTGCATTTCGTAACAGATACTCTCAATCACGATAAAATAGGTCATGAAGTGGCCAATAGCTGAACGATAAGGTGCCACATAGGATAAAAAGCAACAAAAAAGCGGAAAATACCCATCACCTCCTCTCTCTCTCTCTCTGGTGGAAGTCTCCCTCTCTCTAGTTCATGCATAGACGACACTCGGTGGTTGGTAACTCTGTCTACACAGTTACAGAGTTACAAACACGCTTAGAGAGAGAGAGAGATGGGAAGATACAATTCTTTCTTGAGAAGTCCAAAAAAGGAGGAACGACAAGTGCCTAACACTGCTGCGGCCGGATCATCAGAAAGCAAAGCTATTCACTCGTCGGTGACTGCTAAGCGCGGTTGCAATATTATGGATAAACTGGAAGAAATTTTTGGTGCAGAGGAGAACGACGAGTTAGCACTAGCAGGACAGAACTATAGCAACTTCGAGTGGAATTTCATGGAGTTTGGTGATGGACAGCTCAAAGAAGAATATGAAGATGTCGACATGGAGGTAGACTGCAAGGAAAAGAAGGTTACTGATGATGTCTTAGAAGACCAAAACCGTTACAGCAGTTTTTTAAGAAGAGAAACTCTTGGGTTTGGGTTTGGGGAGGATGAAGAGAACCCCATAACTTTGAACCTGAGTCTGAATTATCAGGAGGTGTTGGAGGCATGGTCAGACAGGGGTTCGCTTTAAGGCCGATGACTCTTCTCTTTCCATGGCTAACAACAACTTCGTACGTACTCAGATCAGAAGAAGCTCTCTGTCCTTTTATGAATCTTCATTCCATTCTCATTTTATAGCATAAATTAGCATTTTGATGTAATGGGTTTTATATGGTTTAATATAATATATCTTCGCACTTTCAGACTTAGATGGGTTATTAGTGCTAACTAGCTATTCTTTTGACATTTCACAGATGGGAGGGGTGCCTGTAATGGATGAAGAGAGAACAAGAAGGGAAGCCAGGGTTCTTAGATACAAGGAGAAGCGTCAGAAAAGGCTGTTCTCTAAGAAGATAAGATATCAAGTGCGCAAACTCAATGCAGAAAAGAGACCCAGACTCAAATTTTTTTAATGTTTCAGTGTCCATTCCGGTAAAATTTCCCTCTGTTTCTCTCTCTTAGTTTCTGATAAATCAAAAACAGCCTTAGGGTGTACCAATCCAATGGCCAATTGGCAATGCGGGTGTTAAATGGATTCCAATCTGACATGGAAAAGAAAGATGCTGACACCTCACTTCTGGGGACCCTCCAATTAAAATCCATTAATGTTTTATTTCATCTCTCTTTATTTCCCCATCTACCCATCTATTTTCTTTATAGTTTTAACGAATTTATAATTTTGGTGACTGCAGAGTCGATTCGTGAAGACATCTCCGGACGAGATTACTCAGATGAGCCAGAAATTAGTATCCCAAAAATATCTGAGCACTGAGCAATTCTATAGATTTTTTATTTTTCATCCCTATTTGCTACCAAACACACTTATGCTTTGTCTCCAAGAAAATATCTCAAGTTTCAACTAGCATTKTGTTATGGATGGACCTGAGGTCAACCATGCTCCATTGACTCCATATCAGAGTATACACGTGGCGAACACGAATTTGTGTCCCCTGGTCCAGAATTTGGTGGGCCCAAATTGCACGAAATTGAAGTAGGGGCACCATTATTTCCATGCCTTGAAGGTGTTGGGTCGTTGTCCGGACTCTGGGAAGTAGACAGATTCAAGAGGTTTTTGGAATATCCTCACAAAGAACTAGTCTTCCCAGTTAGCGTGGGGTCCGTGAAGGAAAAAATTTTAGCCATCTACTTTTCCTGGGCATAGGGTTTTCTCTACGTTATACATTAATTCATATAGCCCTATATGATAAGGATTAAAGTATCGGTATCGAGTATCATATAAGATAATTTGGATACAGATACATTTTAGAAATGCATGGATACGAATGAAAAATATGGATACACTAGGGTAATAAATAAAAATTTCATAATATATTAATAATATTAAATTTAAGGTCAAATAGTCATAAATAATGTATAAATACATAAAAAATGTATAAATACATAAAAAATGTATAAATACATAAAAAATGTATATTTTAATAGTGCATATGAAAAAAATATATTACAATTAATATAATATGATGCATAGATATCATACAATTTTATTGATAATGTATCAATCAAGAGTTCAAAATGCAAAACATATTTTCCTATTATATTTTAATTTTTATATCAATCATTTTCGGTTTTACTATTCGTACTTTATTACATTAACAAAAAGGTCGATCGAATATTAAATTCTCTATGTAAATTAAAATATCCATTAATAATTTATAAAATGTATAATCTCAACTTAAAATATATCAAATCTATTAAAATTTCTAAGATACATATATGCAAATTCACAATTTTTGACTTTTAAAATGATTATTCCATTATTATATTTTTATTCCTATAATTTTTTAATTAAAAATCTTTTTTGGTATAAATGTAGATTAGTAGATTTGATAGGTTCAATTTAAGATTGCGTTCTTAAATATTTTGTAAACAATTTCTTCATTTCCTAAATAATAAATATGATTTTATGTAATGTAAATTAATATATATATATTAATATTATATTTTTATAATTTTTTTTGAGATTTAAATAATATTTTGATATAAATATGGATTTTATATATTATTTATTTATGTTATTTATAAAATACTGATTTTAAATATTACTTTTTTAATTTTTAATTAGAGTTAACTGTAATATGTATTATTTATCGGAATTGCATTTATGTAATAAAGAGATAAAAGCTATATTCATTTACTCATAAACATAAAAGGCAGAGTGGTGTGGTGGCCTATAGGCGCGGACGTATTGATATTTTAATCCTTGCTATATAATAATTATTATCATTATAATATAAATTTTATAAATATTACTTTTTATGTTATTTATAATAAATGTTCAAATATTAATTTAAAGAAAAATGATGAAATCGCTTAAATGACTCGGTGGCCAATTGAAATCATGGTTTTTATAACCATGAGTACTTAGTTCAAATCTTCACATGTTCAAAGTAATTTTGGGATTTCTTTCAAGAAAAYCTTAATTCGAAGCTTGGTTCTCCAAGTTGTTTCGTGTTGAATAAACCTCTAAACCCTAGAACTGGCCTGAGTGGGGTCAGTTCTAAGAATTTGGAACCAAACCCTACTCAATAATAGTTTGTCAGATCAGTTGAAGGCTTGTTTGGGGTCAGCTCTAGGTAGAACCTACCCATTTGCACACCCCTTGATACACCTATAACAAAACACACACCCATAATATATGTGAAGTGGCCTAGATCAAACTCTAGTTATATAATAATGCCACTTCCTCATTAAAATTATAAAGAAAGACAATACATAATTTTATTTTGAATTGAAATTTATTTATCCCTCCACCGTTAGGGTCCGTAATATAAAGTTTCAAATAACCATACCCTGTAAATGGCCTAGACCAGAGGAATTGGGTAGGCTGTCTTTTTTAGATCCTGAATTTGCCAAACCAGTTAAACCTGCAAAAAAATCAGTTCAAGCAAACTTAACACAAATTTATGTCGATGTAGCTAAATCAGTTTTATAATTGGATTGAGTTCCCACTGGCATTGATTAACTGCAATCCCAGCCAAACAGTGCTGAATCCCACTGAATTCATTCAAATAGGGTATGATAGCCTTAAACATCCATGAGAAGTTCTGGAGAATCATTTAGCTTCTGGCAAGCCCCATCAACATCACATACTTGAATAAGGAACTTGAGACTTGAAATGCCCTGAGGAACTACAAGATCAGATACGTAAAAAGCTTCTACTCGCGCAACACCAAGATACTCCTCACTTTCTCCAATTGCACCATCCAGATCATCAACAGCTTTCTTTGCAAGTTTCTTAACATAAATATTGTACCTCTGAAACGGGGACTTGCTACCTTTTAATTGCCAGATGATCTTAATGCTCAATGTCCTTGCACTCTCAGGACCTGATGCCCATGAAATATATTGACTCTCAACCAACCATGATGTTGAGGGTGGGAAATCTGAGTTCTTTTTAGTTTTGATTGTGATATGACCAAGTGATGCATAATATTCTAATGAAGCAGCAACTGAATTAGCACCTTGTGCGTCTGGCTCTGATGGCAATGTATTAGGGTCACCCTTCAACTTGTAGCAGACAGCATGAATTCCTGTTAGTGTATGACCATTCATTATGATGCTACTTTCCTGTATGACCCAGCCAGGGCCCATCTGAGCATCTTCTTCCACCATTCTAACTTGATGTGGCATAATTATATTACTAAATTTGCTTGAGAACTGGTTCATGGTGAGCAAGTTTCTTCCTGAGGAAGCAAGAAGCACTGAAGTATGTTGACTTGTGCTTGAAAAGAAATCAAGGGCCAGACCCAGAAGTGAGCTCCCACTGGACTTCACCTACAAGCGAAGATGAAAATAGATGAGAGATGGGAAAATCCAGATTTATTAAACTGCCAAAAATTTCAGAAGCTGTTAAGTTGGAATACAGTAAAACATTATATTGTAACCAATTGATCAGATAGGGCTGATAGGTAATGACATTTGGAGAGGTTCTCACTAGGAAGTACAGATTCATCCCTCCAAGGGTAACCTAAATAAATCAGTAACATTAATTTAAAAAGAAACACTAGGGAGTATCTTTCGGTATCAATAAAGAACAATCTCCTTCGAGCATATCCAAAATATAATAGAACATGATATGGAAAGTTGTCTAAATTGGGCCTTTTACTAGCAATATGAATATTAAGATCTCAACTGGAGCTCCACCTGATCAGCAAGGTGACTTGCTCCAAAATGTTTGGATCAGCAACCTGACCCTATTCAAGGTTAACCTGATTTTGCTTCTCATTGTCCTATAACAGTTGGAAATCCCTCATGCTGGTTCTTTTCCCCCTACTAAAAAGCTTTAGGCACAGAGAAATCTACTGTAGTAGTGCCCAAGTTTCAAGGCATGATACCTTATGTCACCATATCTCATCCAATAAGTCCTGTCCTCACAATTGCCTGAATTCTCCTAAATTAGATGAAGTGTCCGTGTCAATACATGGCAGATTCCTCTGTTTCATGGTTTCTTGAAGATATGTTTCCTTTTTCTTTTTCTTCTCTTGCTTGTCTGACATAAGTGAACATTAGGCATACACTATGAATTCCATCCTTTCCCATTAAGTTCTCCCAAGCATCAAGGTTGGACTCTTTAATTATGGCCTTTTCTATATGTATATCATCATCTAAGCCTTGCCCCAACTATATGGGGTGAACAACATTAATCCTATTCCACCATTTCATTCTACTCAGTTTCATATCCATTGCCAAACTATGAGCCCTTAAATTTTTTTTTTTTGGAAAATGGTAATGTACTTTATTCAGCATATTGAAGAGAGATACAACAAGACCCAGTCCACTAGATCTGCCTGGGCACAATGCAAATTACAAGCTCCCAAGACTTGGAACAAAACAAAAGGGGTACATTCTGGTTTTTAAAATCCTCATTCACCGACATCCAGGAGCATAGCTTACCCACGGCTCTCTGCACAATTTCATCTGGGCTTTTAAATTTACCACAGAAGATTCTGTTATTCCTTTCAGTCCAAATGGACCAAAACACAGCTGCCGGGATGGAACTCCAAACAATCTTTTCCTTTCTTGCTGAGACCCTCAACTCTCCAACACATCAGCAGCTCCTTCACAGATTTTGGCATGGTCCAGCTAATCTCTAAAACCTTAAGAAAATGCCCCCAAGATCAAAGAAGAAACCGGACAGTGGATGCACAAGTGCTCTGTAGTTTCTGCACTCTTTCCACACAAACCACAAGAGAGATCCAGGATCTGAATACCTCGTTTCTCCACATTAGTCTTGGTTAGACATTTATCAAGAGCCATGGTCCAGACCAGAAAATTGATCTTGGAGGGACTATTTGGATTCCAAATCTGCCTAACAGGGAAGTTCTCATGACCTGAACCGCACAACTTTAGAAAAATGGATTTGACTGAGAAGCTACCATCTGCATTCCACTTCCAAACCCATTCATCCTCTGAGTTCAAATCAATCATCTGATTTTGAAGCAGCCCCAACAACACCCCATATTCTTCCACCTCCCAGTCAAACAAATTTCTCCTAAAAGAAGAGTCCAAATGATGGAATCACCAGAAATGCTAAAATTTTCAGCAACTGAAGAATCTTGATTCACAGAAATTTGGAAAAGAAGGGGAAAAACATCAGCCAGTGGACCCACTAAACACCAGGGATCCTTGCAAAATTTGATTCTATCCCCCTTGCCAGTTTTAAATCTGATCCCATCTAGAAAGAAAGAAGTGTTCTTCAAGATACCTGCCCAGAGAGATCTTCCCCCATTAAGATTAGGCTCCTTAGATCTCCAATCACCCCATTTCACACCATACTTTGCCGCAATAAGGCTTCTCCACCATGCATTCCTCTCAGAAGCAAATCTTCATAGCCATTTGCTAAGAAGGGCAGAATTAAATTTCTTCAGCTTTCTTATTCCCAACCCACCAGCTTCCTTAGGGAGACATACTTGATCCCACTTTACAATGTGGCTTCTTTTCATCCTCCCAACCCCTCCACAAGAAATTCCTTTGGAGTTGCTCCAGTCTATTTGCCACTTTGTTTGGGATGGGGAAAAGAGAAAGGAAATAAGTAGGCAGGTTGGAAAGAGTACTCTTAATCAAAGTAACCCTACCCCCAAACGATAGATATTTTGCCTTCCACAAGGCCAGCTTCTTCTCCATTCTCTCAGTAATTGAGCACCAGATTGAAGAGGAAGAAAATTTAGCCCCGAGAGGCAGTCCTAAATATTTTACCAGGAGGAAATCAATTTGACAAGCCATCACATTTGCACATTCTTCTAAATTTGAAACATGACCCACTGGGATGATTTGGCTTTTATTCAGATTAACTTTAAGACCATACACCACTTCAAACCAACTCAGAATCCCAAGCACTGATTCCAATTGAGTCACAGAGGCATCAACAAAGCATAAGGTATCATCTACAAATTGCGAGATATTTACCTTTTCCTTTCTAGGAGAGATTGCAAACCCATTCCATAAACCAAATTCTGCAGCTTTTTTACTAAAAAGAGTGAGAATTTCCATGACACAGATGAACAACAAAGGGGACAGAGGATCTTCCTGCCTCAAACCCCTAGAGCTACCAAAGAAACCCGTAGATTGACCATTAATTAGGATTGAGAATTTTGGTGTCTTAATACAAACTCTGATCCAATTTCTCCATTTCTGACCAAAGTTCATTCTGTCCAGCACATGATCCAGACAATTCCAATTGATGAAATCATATGCTTTCTCAATATCAAGTTTACAAATCACACCCAGAGTTCCCTCTCTTCTTCTAGAATCAATTAGCTCATTAGCAATTAGAATTGAGTCCACCATCTGCCTCCCTGGAACAAATGCACTTTGGTTATTGGAGATTACACTGCCTAACAACCCTTTCATTCTTTTTGCCTGGACTTTAGCGAAGATTTTGTAAAAACTGTGCAGAAGACTGATTGGCCTAAAATCCTTTATATTTACAGCCCCATCAATTTTTGGAATGAGAGTAATAAATGTGGCATTCAAGCTTCTTTGCAGCGAGGCATTTGAATAAAACGCCTGGAACACCTTCATCAAGTCTTCTTTCACAAAATTCCAGCATTTCAGGTAGAAAAGGTTTGCGAGGCCATCTGGCCCAGGTGATTTATCTCCTTCTAATTTCTTAATTGCTGCACAAAATTCCTCTTCTGAAAAAGGTCTCTCAAGCCAAGCTTTCTGAACTTCATCCAGCTGCCTGAATGGGAGGTATGTAGGAAAGGGTCTAAACCTCCAACTCTCCTTACAGAGCTTCTTATAAAAAGAAGTTGCAACTGATTTAATCTCTGCCCATGAGTCTCCGCTCTTATCTTCCCACACCAACTTGCTAATAGAAGAAACTCTAGCACGGGCATTTGCCATTTTGTGAGAGAAGTGTGTGTGTTTTTGTCACCTTCCTTTAACCAAGTGATTTTAGCTCTTTGTCTCCACTTAATTTCCTCCTTCACAACCAATTTATCCAAACTGTTTTTTGCTTGGGATCTTTTCAGCCTCAACTCATCAGATATTGGACCCATCTCTTCAGCTCTATCAATCTCTTCAATGATACCCAATAAAGCTTTCTTTTCAATGCCCAAATTTAACTTTTTCTCCAAATTCCAGATCTTTAGTTTCCTTTTAATAGCACCCAGTTTTTTTTGCCAAAATAAAGGAACTTGATCCCTCCACCTGAATATCATTCCATACAGAATTCATCAAAGGAATCAGCTTGTGATCCTCATACCAAGCATTTTCAAATTTGAAAGGAGCTCTAATTTTCTCACGGTGACCACATATTAGCTGGATAGGACAGTGATCGGAAACAGGTCTGGGAAGAGTAATCTGTCTAAAATCAGGAAAGATATCATCCCAGTTTGAAGAAACCAAGAATCTGTCCAACCTCACAAGGGTGGGATTTTCTTGATTATTGGCCCAGGTGAATTTGTTACCTTGAATAGGTATATCCATAAGTTCCATGTTATTTATAAAGTCTGCAAACAGCCTCATCAACCCCGTTCTTCCACTCCTTGTGTTCTTCTCTTCCACCGAAAGAGTTACATTAAAGTCACCACCAATGACCCAAGGATGGTCCAAAGAACCTCTCATATTTGATAACTCCTCCCAAAAACCTGCCCTGAGATTTGAAACTATTGGCCCATAAACATTAGTAATTTGGATAACATTGCCATCTTAAAACTTCATTACTAAAGAAATTGAGAAATTTCCAGTTCTACTAGAGATTAGGCTACAAACCGATGGATCCCAAAGACACAGAAGGCCCCCTGCACTTCCAGTAGCTGCCTTTGCCTTCCATCTGACCTGACCTTCCCCCCAAATACTTCGGATAATAGCAGCATCTAAATTCTCCAATTTTGTCTCTTGAAGCAAAACAATCTTCGACTTCAACATCTTCAAGGAGTCACAAACCACCATTCTTCTTCTGCCCGATCCCAGGCCTCTTACATTCCAGGATAAAATTCTTAAGTCCATAAAACTGTGAGAAAGAACAATACCCCCCCGTCTCAGATTTTCTTCAGCCCCCCTGTAAGCTTAGGAGCTGTACTCGAAGTAGCAGAGAAGAGAAGAAGACCTCTGAAATGCTGTGAATGTCGAACTGAATAGCTCAGTTGACAGTACTGTTATTTATATTAGAATGTAGTACAATGATACAAGGGATTACTGGAATGCCCCTGATTAGTGATGGGACACCCAGACAACTTAAAACATTAAACAGGATTAGGCCCATTAGCACAGGCCCAATACAGGATAACGTAAACTTAAGTATAGGCTACTAAGAACTCTTATCAGCTGAA